GACACTTTCCTTAGTCTGTGTGTGGCCCACTCATTATTTTATTTATCACTTCCACCCATGCCTCTTTCCCACACTGTGCACTTGTCTCAGTCACAGTTTTGGTAAGCCCACAAGCTAACCACAGCCAAAATGAGTAAAAAAAGATAGAAAATGTCATGGAGCGCTTCTTTGAAAAAAAGCAAATCCCAATAATGAGACAGCAGAAGACTCTAAGACTGCCAACCAAAAGAAAGCTGCATTTAAAAGAAAATACCAAGAGTCCTACTTAAATTACGGGTTCATTGCAACAGGTGATTCATATTCTCCAAGCCCTGGGTGTTTCTGGGAGGGTGTTTTCGATGAGATTAACATCTACATTAGTACACTGGGGAAAGCAGACCACCCCCCTCAGTGTGGGTGCACCCCTACAATTGGGGAGGTCTGATTAGAACAGGTCTGACTCTCCCCTGAGTGAGGAAGAATTCCTCCTGCCTGGTTGCCTTTGAGATGGGACACTGACTTTTCTCCGTCTTCAGACTCTGACGGAAATATCAGCTCGTCCCAGGCCTTGAGCCTGCTGCCTTCAGCGTGGAACTGGGCCATCGGCTCTCCTGGGTCTCCTGCTTGTCCACTGACCCTGCGGATCGTGGGACTTGTCAGCCTCCATAATCATGTGAGCCAATGACTTATAATATATAAACATAAATACAACGCCATTCTATCGGTTCTGTTTTTGTGGAGAACACTGATGAATGCAAGTATCTAAATCATATTTTGAATAGTTATGGTATTTTCTAATCATAAAGGAAACTCATGTGTTTTATCAGTTTTGGAAAATTTTGAAAGCATAAATAATAAAATTAAGTAATTTTGTATCTTTTGACAAACAGGAGGACATGTTTGTATTTTGTATTTTGCTCTGTAGGTTTATACCTTCTTTCCTGTATGTAAATATCTCTCTCATATGTATATATATATAAAATATATATAATATAGTTATAATAGTGCCTGGAACATAGTAAGTGTGTATATATATACACGCACGCACACACACGCACACACACATATTTTTATATACACAAATATACATACACACACATACACGCGTATATGTGTGTTGGGTGTCCCACAGTCTGTAAACGTTTTTGTTCTAATATGTTTCAAATGGTTGTTGACTTGCAGTTTGAGAATACTTATATGTCATAAAAATTTAGGTTTTAAATTTAGGTTATACAACATATATTTCCGGAGAAGAAAGAATAACAGAAAATGTATATAGCTACTTGTCTGAAACAAGTAAGAAAACAGAGAAAAAATATAAGTGACAAACCCTTTCAATACACTGGACATCCAGCAAGAGAAGACCGTGCTCCTGAGGGACTGAAAACAAACGAGGCGACCCGAGAAGTGCCCCAGCTTAATGCCTGCAGCTCGCAGCACAGGGTCAGGTGCACAGGTAAAACCTGGTTGTCTTATGGAGCTGAGGAGATGAAGCTGAGGGTCAGAGGAGGACCAGGGGCCAGAGTTCACAGGTCAAAGGACCAGCGGGAGAGAGCTCCCCAGAGAGAGAATTCCAGCGTCCACACGGGGGTCTTCCTGCTCCCACCAGTCAGACGGGAAGAGTGTACCGTGCCCGGAACATCAGAAAGCATACTAAGGAGATTTTGTTTCTGTGCGGATGCAAGGTCACTCCCAGATGTATGCCGCTTTGCACCCACTTAACAAACTAGCAAAATTGGAAAGATCATAGTGTTTCTCAGAATCCTGCATGAGATGCAGAACAGAGCTGAAGAGTACATATATATAAAACAGTCACTAGCACCCTTGTGTTGAATAAGTGTGAACAAGGCCAAATTCACAGTTTGGCATCCCGTCAACAATGGCCAAGCATGTAAAGAAACCAGAAAATATATCCACAAGAGGAACAAAACTAATTGATCAAAACTGATCTAGAAATGGTACAGATGATAGAATAAGTAGGCAATGGCACCAATAGTGTTATTATAAGTATGCTCCATATGTCCAATTGACATGGAAAAATGAAACATGTTAAATAGAGACACATAAGAAATACGGAAACAAACGAATGAGTCCTGGGACAAAATAATGACAGAAGCAGCTTCAAGCAGTACCCACCACATGCTAATTTTCAGCACCAATGTGGAGACTTGAAGCTTCTAGGAATACGATAAAGGAGGCAATTGTGATTTCTTGGTGATGTCTGAATTATTTTATTGTGCAAATACAAGTACCATTGTCTTTGTAATAAAAAGATTTCAATAAGCTCAAAAACA